CATGTGACACTAAAGACTTCAGTGATGATGCTGAAAATTCAGCTTTACCATCACAGGAATAAATTACATTTTAAGATTTTACATTATTATAATATTACTGATTTTACTGTATTTGAAAAAACAGCATTGGTGAGCATAAGAGTCTTCTTCCAAAAACATCTTACAGACCCCAAACTTTAGTTTACAGTATGTGAAGACAAACCTTTTGATGCCGCCTCCTCGGCCTCTTTATAAAGCCCCAGGAAAAAGAGCGAACAGCCCAGATATACCCAAACATCCACCGGACACTCCGGCCTCAGAGTGAGGGCTTTGTACTCCTGAGTATATGTAACAAGTAGGCATATGTCATGTTACAAACAACTCATTTCAAATGACAATCAGCCATAATGTCACACAGCCTCGCTCTTTAAAGGTGATTCATTCCTTAGTCAAGCATGACTGACTGCATCCAACATCCTGGTGTGTCTGCAGAATCTACCATCTCTTTCACTAACCTCCATTGCTCTCTTGTGCTCTCCCAAATGAAAGGCACAGAAGCCAATCCAAAGGTCTGCATGCTCCACTGACACCCCGCCATTACGCTGAAACTGGCATTACAGAGTTCATGTAAATATCATAGAGCTGTAATCTGAGATCCAATGTGCTTGTTTTTGTACCTCTAATAGAGTCAGGGCTCCCAGATAGTCTCTTTGGTTTAGATAATCCTCAAGTCTTGGAATCTGTTTGCTTTTATTTTTCCTTTTCTTCTCATTCGAGCTGGTGGAGGCTTCACCACCCACTGCTGGTTTGATCCGAGACAAGAGCTTCAGAACAGAAACAAGATGCTGCTATCAGGATGTACAACAGTTCAGAGAAATTCTATTATTTTATTCTAATCATGTGTACACATAAATATTTATTCCAGTTGTAATCTTTCATGCATATTGTACAGCACATGGACTACATGTACTCTACTATTATTTATACACTACCAATCAAAAGTTTAGGGTCAGTAAGACTTTTTAATTTTGCAGTATGCTCATCAAGACTTAATTTATTTGATCAGAAATTAAAGTAATAATTTAGTACTTTCTCCTGTTTTATTGTTGGTTTCCTCTTTTCTGATCAGTTGGAATGAGGATAAAAAGACAAAAAAAGAAAAAACATGCAAATAAGTTCAAACATCAATTCAATATCGATTATTTCCTGAATATTATGACATTCAAGAGGGCCGCCCCCTGATGACGTCATAATATGCAAATTAGATGAGTATATTTACACCCCACATAAACTTTCGGTCATGCCCAACATTTTTCTAATTTACAGTAGATCTCTATCTTTAAGCCCTTTCAAGCCACAAGCTTTTGAAATATTGATGTCAAAATCCAGCATTTTTCCAAAAAAAACCTGGCGCCTAAAGGGCGTAATTCAGTAACTGACTAAAAATAGTGTAATATTATTAACTAACAATTTTTATGTTATATAATGTCATTTATTCATGTGATGCAAAGCTGAACTTTCAGCATCATTACTCTACAGCAGTGAATTTCAACCTTTTGGCGTACCGGACCCCAGTCCAATTCAGAACCATCCTCAAGGACCCCCAGAACAAAATTGACTCGTATCATTTGTGTCTTTGTGAGGACCAAATGCAGTCAAGTATAATTCAAGTTAGCTGACTTGTCCAGTATTTGGCCATATCATCAGCTATATTGGATTTTTCTTTCATGGGAACATGTCATGTCAAAATATACAACATTTATACAAACATTCATACTTTATACGGACCCCCTGGCCTTATGTCAAGGACCACTAGGGGTCCACGGACCCCTGGTTGAGAAACACTGCTCTACAGCATCAGTGTCACATGATCTATCATTCTAATAGGCTGATTTGACTATTATCAATGCTGATAATAAGAACAGCACTTCTTTGAAATAGAAATATTTTGTAACACTATAAATGTTAATTTTTTATCAATTTAATGCTTCCGAGCTAAATTATTATTTTTTTCCTATGAAACTCTATAAAACTATGTTTACTACTGTAATGTCTTAATTTCTCAGGGGAACATTCAACTACTATACTATCATATAGTGTGGGCACTTAAAAGAATTCAAGTTACCTAACTAGGCAAGATTAACGCAGAGTATTTGTTGCTAAATGTTTTTATAGAAAACAAAAAGTGAGGGTCACTAATATAGGTATAACCTATTTTAAATGGGTAGCTAGATATAATTATAAAGGAGGCCATTAGATGAATTAAGTTTAGTTGTTATAATAATAATAAAACTGTTACAGTTACAAGATATAACTAGCTCAAAAAGTAATACTAATGAGAGCAGTAAAAAAAACTGAGCACATTTTTCAAGTTCTTGAATTCATATATTGAATTATGCCTACATAAAAGCCACCCTTACGCTTGCTTGCTCAGAACATTTTATGTTAACTTAATAATAACTATTATATGTTGTTGATACTCACCATGGTGATGATGCTTTACTGTCCACTAACACACGATCCTGAAACTAGACTAGATTTAGCCAGTCATTTTACTAGCACTCTGATCACCATAAAGCCTATAAAAGGAATCACTAGCTTTACAAACAGCATCGATTTAGATGTCCGTTAATCTAGGAACAGTATTTCTGTAGATGAAGTGAACTAGCCAGATAGCCTACTAGCTAGCATACTTGCTAAGCGACTATGTTTAAGGTGTGCGTACAAGATGTTTAAAAGATCTGCGTTTGCTTTTGAACAAACGCAAACGATCCTACCTCCTGAATTAAATACAATTATATATAATAGCACAGAGCATGAATAAATGTGCTCGTCATGTTGTGTGTAATCAATGTTCTCTAGCTAATCTCGACTGCCATGTTTGGCGGCGCGGCGTCACGATGTTGCTAAGCAACCCATTCTTCAACAGATCAATGACAGAAGACCGATTCATGCGCATCGCTGTGCCTTGTGTTTTCAATCAAAACATGGTTCAAATATAACATACGGGTTTTTTTTTTTTACTTATTATATATAAACTAGTTAATCTTTCACCTGAAACCCACAAACCGATTCATGCGCATCGCTGTGCCTTGTGTTTTCAATCAAAACATGGTTAAAATATAACATACGGGTTTTTTTTTTTTTACTTATTATATATAAACTAGTTAATCTTTCACATGAAACCCACAAAAGCCCCAGTGGCCTAAAGGATAAGGCACTGGCCTCCTAAGCCAGGGATTGTGGGTTCGAGTCCCATCTGGGGTGGAATGTTTTCGTTACCTTAAAAACCAAAAACACGACAATTATGTGATTCATACATATACCAGTAATAATATCCATGCACAAGGACATTTAATCCTAAAATAGCCAAATCTGAATCAAACAGACACTTTACATTCTTAAACCAGGGTTTCAGCAGGTTTGATGAAGGTAAATATAAGACCAAATAAACTTTAACGAAAAAAACTGAGCGAAACAAATGTCCTCTAAATGTAAATGTCTAAGGAGCAATGTTATCAACACTTCAGTTTGAAAATACAACTTCCAACATACCTCTGTTCTCAACCACTAGCAGTGTTGGGGAAAGTTACTTTTAAAAGTAATGCATTACAATATTGCGTTACTCCATAAAAAAGTAACTAATTACGTTACTTAGTTACTTCTTATGGAAAGTAATGCGTTACGTTACTTTTGCGTTACTTTTTAAATCTGGACAGGGCTTGCTTGTTTGTTTTTAAAATATAAAAGTTCTATTTTTGGCAAATTTCACACCAAAAGTGAAATGAATAAGCCTCAGGCTGAAGGGAAAGTAAATTTACATCCGTACAGTAGAATGCAGAAGAAGAAATTTCAACACACTTCAGCAATAAAAAAAGACACAAATGTTTTCTAGAGTAATTTTTGCTTATTAGTACGGTTAAACTGGATCATCGAAGGTCAGAAGCAAAGACATTGGTTAATAGAATGGGATTAAATACATAAAGGATATTTGTGTTGTTTTAACATTTAATTATTGCAGGTTTGCGTCATATTCTGAGTTGCATTATTTTTATTCATTTTGAGGAATACTGAATCTGTGTTTTTTTTTGTGTGAGATGAATTAATGCACATTCATATTTATTTTAGATCTACAGTAACATCTGATTTCTCTCAACATGGGGACAGGAGAGCTGTCAATCAATAAATTGAAAAAAAAAAAAAGTAACTTGCGTTACTTATTTGAAAAAGTAACTCAGATATTCTCTTGCAAATTAAAAATGCGTTACTTTACTAGTTACTTGAAAAAAGTAATTGATTACGTAACTTGCATTACTTGTAATATATTACCCCCAACACTGACCACTAGAATATGAAAATAACTTTTACTTTACCTTCGGATCACACTGTAAAAAGTGATATTTGTCTGCAGTATTTGTCGTTTTCCAGTGCAAATGTCATCATTAAAACAAGACCAAATATCCACTAATAGGCTCAGAAAAATCAACTCATTTAGTTTGGTTTACATTTGTAATAATGTACATTAAGGGTTAGATGTTCAGATTTGAATTGTAAAGCAAAAAAACGGAGGTACTAGGCATTCATTTTTTGATATGCACGCAACATATGCCATGACTATGAATTTAACTTTTCAAGGCCTTAGTTTGCAAAAGGTTGAATTAAGACTTTAAGAGCTGCAGAAACACTGAAAACTGTTTTGATTTCAATAAGACGGCTCTCTAGTCATTTTGAAAACTGTCAAACACTGCAAATTCAATTTTGATTTCATTGGTCAAACACTGAATGGCTGCTACCCAATGCAATCGGTCACTCAAATGTCTACAAAACAAGCTTAATATATAGTACCCAGTTAGGGTTTATTGAACACTGTTCAGCTGACACTATCCCTTCATTAAGCCATTTCACTTAAGACCTGCCCATCTGCATGTTTTGGTGTCATTCCACACACTACATGGCTAGACACTATAGCCATAATTGCTCATCAGAAATAAGCTCAAAAAGAAAATGTATCAGAACCGCGGTTTTAAACAACCAAATTTATTGATTTCACAAGCATGGTTAATGCTTCTCTTAAGACCAGTCTGCAGTGGTGCCGCCCCAGTCTCCGGCCTGAGCCGTGGGAGCAGCAGACCAATCCTCAGTGGCAGGCTGAGCACTCCAGTCCTCTGTTGATGAGACAGAAATTCAAAATTACACCAAATGTTACACACACTTCATTATTTTGTACTGTGCATGTCATGCTACTAAACAGCAAAACCTTACCTGCAAACACCTCAGCTGGTGCAGCTTTGGCAGGAGCTGAAGTTTAGAAGACTCGATTAGTTCACAATTTTCACGTTCAGTTGAAATAATTATCTAAATGTAATTTCCAAAATTGTTTGTATTTTGCATTTACCAACTGTAACATCTGGGAAAACAAGTCTACTAGAAGCAGCTTACCCTCAACGCTAGCTGGGAATTGCTGGATGGGCACAGATGGAACCTGAACACCTTCAGACCAGTCAGCAACCTCAGGCTGGTTGAAGTCGGGCACAGGAGCGGTCCATTCTCCCTGGAACTCCTCCTTACCTACAGCCTTCTCAGCTGCAGCCTGCTCTTCCTTCTCAATCTAGAGGTAAAGCAGAGAACCAGTGACAATTAGCACACTTTTAATAGTAAACAAAGCAACACTATCAAGCTACACGGGAAGTGATTCTGAATATTGGTTGGCTGTATTTAAATTAGAGATATCAGCTTTACAGCAGATACATTTTAAGCATTCA